GACCCTTTCGGATCCGAAAACGGATGCTGCCGAACCGCAATTTCTACTCTCGTTACGCATACCGAAGCAACCTCGTAATGGCTAATCAGGCAAAAATAAACTTGCATGGCCAGAAGCAGGTTAGTCTCCTTCTTCGCACATTTACCCTTTTTTTTATATATTTTGTCTCGCCAGTATTATAACCTTTTTAGGTCGCTTAAGGGGATTTAAGAAGTGGAGGCGAAATTTGAGTAGAAATTCTTGTGCTACTTTATATAAAGTATTCTTTCCCTTGATAATACATTTTTACTCAATGACATATTAAATTTTTTATTAGCATTCGAACAAACGTTATTTAAAATCAAGGCCTTGAAGTGAGTTCGCTAGAGCGAATCGTTAGCTTCGGTCTTTTGATCCTCAATAGATTATCCTTCTGTCTTGATAAATCCATATTCCATCTGTATATTATCATATTACGACAGCCATGACGACCACCTTTGCATAAACTTCAAAGATGATCTCATTTGTTTCGTGCATCTTTCTAAAGTCGACCACAACTTATCGCCTCAGTGATGTACTCTGATTTATTACCGTAAGTTAAACTTAAATTTGTCTGCTCCTGGAGGGCACACCAAGACATAATCTTGCCATAGCTTGGCCTTCTTTGGTGCGAATATATGTTTATTTATATGAGATGTATTCACTCTATTTCATTTAAGGTTATGAAAGGCTGGTAATAGAATTTTCTCACAATAATATGAGTAGAGTAGTCTCGAAACTCTCTCTATAAATATATATTTATTTATATTTATATACTTGCCGAACGAAACTGTCTATTATGGTTGCTCAAATATAATTCTTCACTTTTCCATAGGCTACTTTGTCTTATTTAGACATTTTGACTGCTTTGCATGCAACTTTACTTTTAAGTAATCGTTACTTTTCTAAGACAAAATTAAGCCTTTTCGACATTTCTCATGCATCAGTTTGCTTACTAATTTATCTAATCCTGACTTCCTTAAACCCGACATTTGTGTCTATTACGTGGGCGATAGCTTTCCTACGCATCGATCTCTACTGCGTCTGGTTATCTATTTTGTTATCTTGTCGTTTATAAATTTGGTATTCGCTAATTTATGCTTTTCGAGGGCTAAAAGGAAGACTCACAAGCAGTTGCAGGGGATGCGTTTGTAATACCATTAAACTAAATGGTGATTTTCTTTGTTTTTCGTCCCCATAGGTGATGCGTCAGTCCCTGAACTTTCCCCCTATTTTAAAAGCGAAATTATGAGCAAATCTTCCAGCCTTATTATTTTTATAGGTTTATGAGAACCACTTATCCGTCATTTATCAGCGGAAACTTTCATCTTCCTTGATTCGCACATACACCTAAAGGTCTGTCCGAGTAGCAAATCTTCATCACTTATTCAATAATTCTGTTTCAATAATAACTGAGCTACATGTCGCTTGCTCCTTTTGGCTATTACTGTTGATATGTCTTAAATGTATCTTAAAGCAGGCTTGCTTGTGAAGTGGAATTTAAGTGTTGAGCTCATTTTCACTTCGAGTAACAGTTTTTGGTGAAGAGACTCGAAGGTCGATTCCACCGGAAGACAACCACGGATTCTGCTTGACCAGCCGTCGACTTACTTTGCTGGAACATTTTTTGTTGCCGGTATTTCCGAGACACTATCATTCGATTCTGGTCAAATCGTGCTAAGCTTTCGTCCCTCGTCTGTATATGCGATCAATTCATTACCAGGAATGCAAAACAAGAGCTTTTCAGGGGCTGCGTGCCAAGCGCAAGTCCATATTCACATCTATGGGATAGATTTTGGATGAATGGCTCGAACGAGACTCTTCCTCTTTTTATAGGGTAAGCCAACATAAAGCGTACTTTTTGTCGATATCAGCCTACACCTCTGTAGAGAAATGTTCCTAACGTACATTATTCTTTTATCTAATTGTGCCCAATCTGAACAACGATCCATACGTGATTTGTACAAATCGAACATTACATTCTCATCTCAAGCTACCGTATCGGACAGCTCACGCTTGACATCCCCATATTTCTTATTCCAATACAATCTCTTTATAGGCTATCTCTCTCGGCACCCTTCTTCTCCCCTATTCCTCTTCTAAGTGCTCCACCTCAGTTTCATGGACTCACAAACACCGACATCCAGTTAGTCATGCGGCTCGTCTCTTCTGTCTCAACTTCCGCTGGCGCGGTATCCTTCACCCCAAGGACTGGGGTCCCCTGGCGTCCTGGCTTTATCTCGCCAGCCAGCTGGCGCATTTTGAACCGTTAGCTCTAGCAGAACCATCAACTGACGGAGATGCTGACAACAAAGGATTCAAAGCCAGCATGGGATTGGCTGAGGGACGGAGAGTATCAAGAAGAAAGTCGATTCGGGGCCAGGATGAGCAGTCGAAAAGGCTGTCAGAACGTGGAGAGAAAGGGGTCAAACCCGAAGAGGGTGATGAGGAGGAGGAAGGAGAAATGTTGAATCTGCCTTCCGAGGCAAGATTATCCTCTGCCCACAATTTGACCACATCGCCCGACGATGATGGATCACCGCCATCTTGCCGAGACAAAAGCGCCAGCCATGACAGCGGCTCTGATTTGGATCAGACTATCGAGGCAGTGGACAGTGAGTTGTGGTTGCGGCTTTAGTTTAGCCAGGTTAAGTGTATGCAGGCCGAATAGCGTTATTTCTGTAGCCTTAGAAACTTGCTACATTTTTTAAACTTTCTCCCAAGTCTTGCATCTAACTGATTTTTACTTCTCTCTCCAGATCATTCTCAAATGCAGCTTTTGCTTTGACAGCGATCTGCTTTGCAAA